CTTATATGAAGAGATACACACTGGTAATCCTAATACATATAATACATGCAAGCAATAAAAGACAATGACTTTACCTTATTGTATGCTGCAGATTGCTGGATGATGTTGCATTGATGTATGGGGCACCAGTACTGCATCAATTTTTAATGCCAAGAACACACTTATAAAGAGTGAAAACTAAAGCATGTGTCCAGAATATTAAAATACTTTATCCAAATGTTATCTAAAGGAGGCTTATCATGCTAGCAGATAAATAAACATTTGGCGACCATTGGGTCTCAAAGGGACCTCCTTAATCTACATTTGGAAAAAAATGGCGCTCATAAGCTCTTTATAAGAGAATATATACTCAATGTTAAATTCTAGATATATTGGCATTTCATGTGTCAAGTTAAAGATATGTATTATAGATCTTTACATCTTAGTAATCTAATATGAACCAAAAGCTTTGTGGATAATGTTTAGGTTTAATATGAACCATACAAACGTCCTTTGTCATATTCATGACATTTATGCATTGCTTTAGAAATTTTTTTGTATTTATTGTTCATGAATATTATCGTGAATATCAATGACATGCTTGGCAAATAAAGGTGCATACTTAGAATGCGTATACATTGATATCAAGTTGATAAAATCTACTAGATTTGTTGGGTCCGAACTAGTTATAATTACAAATGCGAATTCACCTGTAATTTTATTCTATGCATTAATACATAGAAATTAAAGTTTGGAAAGGTGTAAATCCTAGTTTGCAATGCTGTGACCTGCTTATCATATTAGTAAATTATTGATGGTTTGATCGAGTACTTATGTTTGGCTGGTGGGTGAAAATTTAAGGGATGTTTTAGTTGTATTTCAAATAATTTCTTAGTACTTTTTTTTAGAAATAACTGACAAAATAAACATCATGATAAAAGACTATGGTCATAGGAATTCCATGAAGGCATACAATATCTTTGAAAATAATTTTGATGACATGATAAGCATCATTGAATTTAGAACATGACATGAAATTAGTTGAATTTTAAAAGTCTATCTACAAGAAAAAAATGGAGTCATGACTGCACAATTTTAGTAATCCTAATTCAAACTCCATATTAAGATCTTCCTAGTCCTAGGTAGTGATTGAATTATGTAAAAGAGTATATAAATCTACTCCTTATTATCACACTTTTCAAATTTTTATATTCTACTTTTGAGTAGAATTCTATCATAATCATGCTAGAGGAGACTTCCATTTAATTAACCATGAAATTGACGTACCTGGGTGAATGTTGTGGACTGGGTGAATCAGCCATAGCCTCAATCTGGGTTGGCTCCATCTTTGTGCCATTAACTGATTCAACATATCCAAGGAAGCAAGTTTATCTTGTAAGAAAGTGATGCTTATTCAGGTGAACATATAACTGCTCGTCCAAAGCACCTAAAAAATCTTTCACAACTGCTGTAAATAATCCTCCAAAATAGTACTATACATAGGATATCATCAAAATATATCACCACAAAATATCTTAGAACACTAGGAAAACATAGTTCATTATCTGTATGAAAGTGCTTGAAGGCTTGAACAAACCAAATAACGTGGCTGCCCACTTATATAATTGGTAATGAGCTGAAAGTTTTATTCCACTTATCTCTTAGCCTCATTCTAATTTGGTTGTGGCCACCACACAATTCAGCCTTAAAGAAGATACTAGTTCTATGCAACTGATCCAACAAATCATTCAATTATTATTTGATGGTGATTTTGCTTACAACCTTGCTATCAATGCACATACACTAATAGTCATTCTTCTTTAGTACAATCAGAGCGGAAATTATACCTGGACTAGCACCCTTTTGGACCAAGTTTCTAGCTATCAAGTCTGTGTCATACTTTTGCAACTCCTAATATTTGCTTGGGCGCTTCTAGTTGACAAATCAGTCTGTGAGATTTAAATCTAGAATGAAATTTGTGTTATGCCATATCTTCCTCAATGGTGGTAACTAAGGTGGTAAACTATTGGTCAGGACATTTTGAAACTTCCTTTGTAGGAGCTGCATTATTTATGTATCAATTTCTCAGATTCATTGCTTTCTGGTACCACCCCTAGTCCCACCAGTGCTTCTATCAAGACCTGTAGAAAAGTAGCGTTACACTATGGCTTCAAACTCTTTCCTGAGGTAAGAATATAATGCTTTTATTATCTTTGGTGAAAAAATATGTATTCTTGTAGCCATCATGATGGGTGCAACAGTCATATTGCCAAGAATTATCTAATTATGATAAGTTTGCACACATTTTCCTTCAAGGTACAATGGGTGCGAAAGATTTTGTGGCAATGTCAGTTTTGCTCTATCTAGGGCTCAATCTTAAGTTTTCGTCGACCCACTAACATCTTTACCTCATCGGCAAGAAACTGATACTCCTCTCCAACATCACTAATTTATTTTATGTAAATGTTTTACTTTTTTCATTGTGTCATGCTATATAAAAGAAATCACTCTTTTATTTAGGTAGTTGGATGCCATGTGTCCATATTCATGACATTTAAATTACTTTATGGGTGGGAATATTTTAAGGGTGTTGGCCTGATCGAACTTTTTTCCCTCCTATGTGGCTTCTCCTCGTGAGGGGCGGATCTTGATGCTCAGGTTGATGTGCTTTTGTTGCTCGACCTTATGGTCAAATCCTGCTTGAAGGGTGGAGTAGACTTGATGTTACTACCCCGTTCCTCCACCTTTAGGCTTAAGGTTTGTACATCTTGCAAGATCAAGTAGGGTTATAACTACACAATTATCAATAAAAGGTTACAATCCTCAAATATATTAGGCTATATGGCTCTGCTGTAGATCTACCAATTCACACTTCAATATTAGTTCTTCATATTCAGCTGTATACTCACTATTGATAGGTCTTTTTACTGTAAATGATGAAGTTTAAAAATGATATAAGGTACGTAGTGTGCTGGAAAGTACTTATTCTGCATCTCCTTTTATTCTTAGATCAGGACCTGATCTCATATTTTTCATTACATTGGTGCAAACACTTTAAATTCTCCCATCTTAGGAAATTATGCTTCATTATATTAACGGTACTTGGTTTCATCCTTTTGTCACGCGAAATGTTATTTTACTTAAAAGAAACTCCTTTTGTTGTCTAAAGTTAGTCAATGAATTCTTCCGGATTCAGGAAACCGTCAAAACTCGATAAATCAACCTTCACTTTAATGACACACTTTCGTTTCTAATACTCAATGTCAAATTGATGCAATGTTGACTTTTGTTGTTAAGGCTTCTTGGCGAAAATGGTTTTCATCATCTTCTTCATCTGGGTGGTTATTATTGTTGTTGTGGGTGACTTTATCATATTGCATTCTTTCAAAATCAATGAGTCTCTATTATAATTGGAGGATTTTTTGCTATATATCCTCTATGCTAAGTTCCCAAACACTTTTAGATTTTCTCCTTGGCAGCATTGTAACTTGTTTCTCAATTTCGGATTTTGGCTTGGGTGGGATTATGATTATGATGTTGGTTGAAGGTTGATGTTTATGTGAAATGTGTAGGGTACTTTTTAGTGGAGGAGGAAAGGTTATATTTTGATGGTTTAGGGTTAGAGCTTTAGATTATGGTTTGGCTTTGATATCTATGGACAGCGTTCTAAGGTTGCTAGAGGCGTTGGAGGATCATATGTAGTAGGGAGGTGTTGTAGAATGACAAAAGGCACTCATGATGGGTGAAATTGGGGGAAATTGGAAGGGGGTAAAAGGGTAAAAAGGGTTTTGGCTGCTGTGCTGGGTGAAAACAGAAGGAATAAAGCCACCACAGCGATATCAACGATTATGGCTACCTAGGAAGATCCACCACTAAGTCTAGAACATGCCACAAGAACACCACTTGCACAAGGAGAATAATACAATACTTATTTAGTGTAGAAATCAGAGAGAATTTTTAAATGCATATATAAAAAATGTGTTCAACAGGTTTTATGTAACATACTTATATTAGGATAAGGAATTGAATATTAATTACAGATCAAAACGAGGCAAATAGGGCTCGCAAGGCCTGCAGTAGCTCAATAGGCAAGAAATCTCTGGCTGGACTCCTACGAAACTAGAATTCTCGTTCCCGCAATGTCCCATCTAATAGGATGCTTCCGCGTTAGGCAGGCGGTTTTTCCTGTTTTATGTGAGTGGAAGAGAGTGCCTGGGAGTTTCACATTGTGGGCATAGGCATGGTTATGGCTGACATATTGGGAGAGTTGTGTAGGCACATCACCTTTTTTTTTCGTCTTTTTCATCTTCTTTTTCTAACTAACATTAGAATTTTGGGTTCAATAATGGACATGCTGGTCATTAATAAACTTATTATCATATTTGCTGATTTTTAGTTCAATACCATCGTTGGATTATTCTCATCTTTTCACCAAATAAGGTCATAAATTTGACTCGAAGGTCTAAGTTAGCTTGAAAAGCAAGCTGATTTGTTTTTAGAATTAAGATTTTATCTAAATCTACAAACCAAAGGCAAACTCAATTTAAATTTGAGTTGAGCCAAGTCCGAATAAAATTGAGCCAAACTAAAATTGGGTTGAAATATAAATTCATGTAAATAAATGTTTGTGGATACGTATGAATGTATGTATTGTATTCCATGTATAAGCAATTGTGGTGCCTGTGTATGTGCACTTTTGCGAACGAGCAATTTTGGTGCTTGTATGTATGTGCGGGCATGCACATCTGTGTCTGTGTGCGTGCATGCGTGCACGCACCAGTGTATGTTTGTCTAAAAATTTCTTAAAAGATTGAAAATCCTCGGCTTGAAATTGAATCTATGTCTTTGAGGTGATTATAAACTATTGGTTATATAGGCTTGAGATTGAGTCATGAACAGCTTTAGTATCAAAACAACCTGCACTACCTTTTCTTTGATATTGTAATTATTTTATGTTGTTATTTAGTATGGAGTAAGAATATATTGAATATTGCCTGCATGTTTTTCTTTTGCAACTTTAATCTGGTAATTTTAGTTGTATTCAGGTGTACTTGTATGGAGGTCACGTAACATCTTGGAAGAATGATCTTGGAGAGGAGTTGCTATTCTTGAGCAGTAAGGTAACAAAATTTTCTTGTCATCAGATCGTTAAGTATAAATATAGCTGAATACAGTCATTTTGTTAAGCGATTTGATTCATTTGCTATTCTTGACAGACTCTTGGTATTGTGGATAAAATCTCACATACTCTGCTTCATTAACAATTTTGCTATTCAAATTTGGTTGAAAAGTTGGGCAACACAAACTAGTCATTAAAATGCTCTAATTAAAAACTTTATATGATTGTTGGTGCTTATTGAGATTCCCAGTATAAACAAATTTATATGATCTTTTTACCTATGATGATGATATTTCACATATTTAGATAAATTTTTTTTTGAAGAAGTATCATACGTAAGTGCAAGTCAGCAACTCTAGTAGAAAAAACTTTATCTAAACAATTTGAAGGTTTGAGAAGATGCTATCATATGACCTTTTTTTTTCTCAAAAAACATTGGGTTCATATGACTATGATGTGAATAATTGAGAATAATAATCTAAAATTTTTGTTTGTGTGCTTGATCTCTCAGTCATAATAATAAAATATTGGTGCTTCTTATTGCAAAGTCGTTGCATTGCAAGGAGCACAACTGTGATGGTCTCGAAACATGTAACTCAGATCACAAATGGTTCTATTGTATCACTCAGCTACTATATTTTTCGTTAAATCTTGTTAAAAAGAAAATTCAACTTATTAACTTAATTCCTATTTATTATGAGTTGTAATACTTTAAAATAGTTTTGAAACTCCACTCATCTTGTTTTATTTGTCTACCTGTTGAAATTTGTTTTGTTATATCAAGTTGAGTATCCGATTTTATGTCTGTTTATTTTGTAATTAAATTATTGATATTAAATGTTTTTTTAATAAAAATATTTTAAAATTATAAGCTCTCTTAATTGGAGATATTTAATAGTAAAATGCAAAGAATTCAAAGTTGTGTTGCACTGAACGAGTTTCATGCTGAGCCTTTTCATTAGGCTAGCCATAAAAAACATTAGTCTTTACCTAATATTGGTTTATAAATCAATTTAAATAAATGCAAGAGGGGATTATTTAAAAGAATAGCAGTTGCATAATTTACTTCATCTTTGTCAAGTCATTAAGTGCCTCATTAAAATAATTAAATGTACAATAATTTAAAGCAGAAAATCTTTATAATTTATCTATAAAATTATTGAAATTTTGAATCACCTTAAAAGTAACATATCTTGTCATATATGTAATAAAAATTATTCTGAATGATATAAGATAATAATTTAGTTTCTATTTAAATTTTATGTTCTTTTTTATTTTGAAAATATAAATATACTTAATTCATGCATATTTATAAATGAAATAATAAATCGACAGTGATAGAAGATAAAAGTGCAATCATCAGTTAAAGAGCTTAATCAGATTATCTGTAAAATTATTATTATAGAAAATTACGTGTTTATAATTTAGGTGTCAAATAAAAAGATTTAGCACATATATAAACGACACCTATGTTTAAATAATATTCAAACATTAAATTTCCCACTTATTTTTTGAAGAATAAATTATTTAAAAATTCAAATCTACCGACCAAATTATCATTTGGCAGCATGAGAGCCCAAATAATCTAATTCAATATTTAGCTTAAAGCACTTCTTCTTTAGTATTTTAAAATTAAATTACTCAATTGAGAATTGCCTGCTTGTTTATTTAAACTTATAATGGCAAATATATCATGTATGTAATTCCTCTTTACTTATGAATGAAATATATACATGAAAAATATTATTCTTTTAAAATTTTCATATATTTTTTGAAATTCTAATTATACTTTAAAAAATCGGTTCATTTCTAGAAATAAAATGGTAAACGGACAACTCAGAAGTTGAACAATTAGAATTAGTGGATGTCAAGTATTTCATCTTTCTTAAATGATCAATAGAAATGTTTTCTTTGTCATCTGAATAAATGTAGCTGATTTTTTTTTTGTGCCAAGTAAGAACAATTTTAATGGTGACATAAATAAAAAAAATGGATGAATCCATGTTTTACTTTAGGCAGAGTGGCAAGCCCTTATTAATAGCAGTATAGATACTTATAGATCTTATAGTACAATTTTAATCATTTATATAATTCAGGTTTGTCTATGAATAAAAGTAATTGTTTTTTTTTTTTTGGTTAGCTATATTTTAGTGGAATGTTATGTGTATTTTTTATGGAAGTATACATGAAAGTGCAAATTATGAGCTCTTTCTAATCATTTCCTACGTGTATTTTACGCTACTTCTTTGAGGTTGTAGAAATTTTCAAAACTTTTGTGCATTTTTATTAACATCAAAATACCATAGTTAACTCAAACGACAACAAGCAAGCAAATATTATTACTGGAAAAATCAATAAGCAGTTACAACCAACACACTGAAAGAGGAAATAATAATAACATGACACACGACACACTGCTAGGGTGGATCTCAGGTGATGATTATGGTGGTGGTCGTTAAGGGGGCTGGGAGAGGTGGGGAGGCAAGGTCGGGAAGTGGTTTCTGGGCTGTGGATGAGTGGCGACAGCGATTATGGGCGGCTGGAGCAGTAGGGAAACAAGGTACGACAACCCAAACAATAGTATTTTGTTGTCTGGGGGAAACAACAACTAGATAGAAGCTGGATAGGGGCAGCAGAAACAAATGTGGAAGAGCAGAAGGCTTGGTTGCTACAAGGTAAAAGGACTGGAAGGTTGGTAGGTGGTTGGGAAAGGGGGTAGGGAGGTATGCGGGCTACACGTGCCATCCTTGGAGGTGGTTGTAGCAGTTATGACGATGACGATGTAGTGAAGGTTGCGGAGGATGAGAAAGTCTAGGATAAATACCACATCGAAAGCGAGATAGAGTCGAAGCGCCACTCGATTAGCAGAGGAGAATCACCACTCTATAATGAGATACAACTTGAGCATCACTTACCCTTGGATGCAACCCTTGACATGAAATAAGGGGACACACGGCTGTTCTGATAGAAACACAATCAAAACTGACCTAAAGCACGAAAGTAACATACTTATAGATCTAGGGTGACTAAGGAAGAGATCCCCTACAGTTAGGTGACATTCCCACGACAAGGAAGGATCGACTGGCCCTCAGAATCACCGTGTTGAACCGGTCCATGCGAGGACACATTGAATTAGATGCAGTGGAAGCGGCCTTAGTTGTCACTTTCCGCATAGGTGTGCGAGACGCCCCACATCACATCATTTGGCAATTTTTTAGCCGCAATTTTCTTGTGATAAAATTTACATTTTAAGTAAACATGGTATTTTATTGCACACTCTTATGATACTTTAATTTAAGTGTTATATTTTCAAGTCTGCACTTTTCTTCTAGCACCATCGGCCATTATCAGACTAAAAAGTAATGGCAATAAAGAAAATTAAATGATACTAAGAAAAAAGGAAAATAAAATTCAAAGCATAAAAGAGAATATATAAAAGAAAAATCAGTAATAAAAATAGAAAACAATCAAAAAGCAAAATGAAAATAAAACATTTATAAAAAAAAATATTATATAAAACTAAGAAAAAAAAAGAAAAATTTTAAACGAAAGTAAAATAGTGAAAAGATTCAATAAATATAATTAAAAAAACAGTCAATTAAGTAAATTGGAAAAAAAAACATAAAAAGATTAAATAAAACTGAGAAAAATAAAATAAAATCTAAACTCTTAAAGAAATTAGTTGAAATAAAAATCACTAAATATAAATTAAAAAATATTTAAAAAGTACATAAAAATAAAAACATGTAGAAGAAGATTAAGACATAAAACTAAGAAAAATAAAAATAAATTTGAAACCTAAAAGAAAATTGTTAAATAATGTTAATCTATAAAAAGAAATAATTAAACAATAAAAATAAATGAAAATGGAAATATTTAAATGGAAATTAGTAGTGCAATTTGATTTTTTTTATTGAAACAATTATTATAGAACCACTTTTGAAGCGAGACACTTCTAAAAGTTTATATAGAACCACTTCAGGAGCGAGGCACTTCTAAGATCTTCTTCATATTCTTGCAGAATCTTCCCTTTCCTTCGGAGGTTTACTTCTTAGCTCCCTCTTCACTCACAAAGGCAACTATGCACACTCTCTTGATCAACTTGCAGCGAAGTCGTTCTCGCCTGATACCTGAATAACCTAAAGAAAAATGTAGGCTTCATTAAGCATATTATAATATAATATATAAAAAAAATTCTATGTATCAATTTGCGGAATTGTCCTCAAATGCTTTGAGGCTTATAGCTCAGTCCAAAAAAGCATAGAAACAAAGGCTCATGAGCTTCAAGCCATTTTTTCTCGCGCCTCATAATGAGATGCTCCTCAAATCATATGCCTCAACTGTTTTTTTTATTCCATGATCTTTCATAGAACCTTTGGGTGAATCCTAATAAGCCTACTTAGCGATAGCCTCAGTGAAATTGTTACTAATGATTTGCTTGTGCCTTTCAAACTTAAGCTCTCACACAATGCTTTAAAGCTATGGTCATGAAGATTTAATTTTTACCTTTTTTTTTTAAACCCTTACGCATCTCACTTTGCTTCAAACCATCAAAGTTTATGCTTCATTTTGTCTGAATATGATAAATATGTATCATGCACCATCTTTCAGTCATTGTTGCCTAAAAATTTTTTTTTTTAATTTTTTTTTAATCTATTGAATGTGTTTCTTGTAAATATATTCTTAATATATTGTTTCCATTTCAAATTCAATCAGCTCTTTGTACTTACAACAAACTAAAGATTCATTCCTTTTTATGGAAATAAAATTTTAAATCTTTAGCCTCATTCATTCTATTGTATTTTTTCGTTATATTAACACTTGACTTATGTATGATAACATTTAACAAATTGTTGTATGCATTGATAAGTTTAATTTATTTAATATGATTCTTTTTCCTCGATAAATTCAATTTTGAAGCTTGCAACGCTATTTTTCCAATATTGTCTTTTGTTAAAAATCAGTTACTGAAAACTTTCACTCCAGGCTTCTCTATTTAGCTTTGCTGAGGTATTGACCATTATCTCCTGGCTTCATAATCCCTGTTCACCTAATGATATTGGTTTTTTAAAAGTTGATCATGTTATGTTAATTTAGCACTCACAGGATGTCAAAGGACTGATGAGCAATCTGACAACAAACCTGCCAAAAGAAGTGTAATTTGGCATATTGTCATGAAAATGGTTTCATTGACAATTCAATAGAAAATTAGTCGGTTGTGTGATTTTTTTAGTAATACTGGAATGGATTTTACAAGAAAGAGAATCAGTGAGAAAACAAATCTCAATACTTATCGATATGCAGTTATTAAAAGATGAACACGCCTAAATAGACCCAATTCTTTTCAGAAAGCTTAATGCTAGATAGTCCAAGTTTGGCTAAGTCCAAATTCTCAGTCTATGGACTTCACTTCAGTGTTGAGCCCATAGTTTGGGAGTGTTTCAAAGTTTTCTTTGAACTCATTGTTGAGCCAATAGTTTTGCGAGTGTTTCAAATATTTTAATTCAGATGGTTTTACACAAATGGCTGAACTCATTGGTTATCTTTCTACTTGAATTTTATTTTTGAGAAATGTGTTCTATGCGCCATGCTCTACTGTATACAATATTTGGCAGTGCATTTTGAATTAATTCAAAATTGAGAAACTCATTCTTGTACAACTTTATTAAATTCCATTATGTTGTTTTTCATGTGCAGGCTATCTTCAAGCCGCCTAAGGCTATTCGTGGGGGCATCCCAATCTGCTTTCCTCAAGTATAATCCATTTCGTCTATTTGCGAGTCTATTTAATTGTATATAATTTTGATTTTTCTTGCTGATGAAAGTAATTTCTTACATGTAGTTTGGCAACCATGGAAACCTTGAACAACATGGATTTGCAAGGAATAGGTTTTGGAGTATTGATCCGGACTCTCCACCCTTTCCAACTGCTACTTTAGATAAAGCTTTTGTTGACTTGATCCTCAGGCCATCTGAGGAAGATACCAAGACTTGGCCGAACAGGTATATTTTCGAACAACAAATTATATTTGGAATTGTGTGCGTGTGTGTGAAGATGCAGACTTTTTTTAAAAATAAATAGCCATTGCCTTGCATAAAGCAGACCCAATCTTTTTAAAATAAATTGCAAAATCTCAGTCTTCGTTTTACAAAAACAATCAAGAGCAAGCAACCTACCCTCTCTCCTCCCAAAAAAAAAAGGAAAAAAATATCTTCACACCAAATATGATTTAACCTTGGATGAACCTTAGTCATCAATGTTTAATAGGCCCTTACAAGGTAAAGACCTTTCCGGACACAATTGCTTGATCTTAAGAGTGGTCCACTAACACTTGAAGAAGTATCCATTCCAATCTATATGCTAGTCCAGTCATTGTCTTGAAACAATTTCAGAATATTGACAAGACAGTTTAACTACAATGGAACCACTAACCCTAAGATAAGAAAACAAGTAATTCTCTCATGATCTCAGATAATAACCCTCATTCATATTCAGCAAGGGAACCCTTGGTAGCAGCATTGATATTAGGCTTAATCTTACTGACCAAATCTTTAATCGGCTTAATAAGTTTCTCAATGCAAGAAATTTAGACAAAAACTGAAGCAGAAGGTTCACCCAAAAACAATTCAAAATTAAAGAAACATGCGTTCAACATTAAATCAACTGAATATTATTATTAACTGTAAGACTAATTTAAAAAAAATCATGAAACGTAACAGTATTTATTTTCAAGAAAACAAGAGAACAAAAACTGCGACAATAGTACTAATACAAACCCCCACAACATGACTAGAATGATTCCGAGAAAGGATAAATAACTTTGATTATTAGTGGCTAGAATCTGAATCTGAATATGGAAAATGAAAGCTTAATGAAGTCACACCTTATATATATATATATACTGGATCCAGAAGCAAAAACATGAAAAGAAGATTACAAATTTAGAAAAAAAAAAGCTCACTTAGAAGCAAAACTAAAAATCATCTCTTAAATTCTAATGCCGATTTGGAGAAAGCCATGACATAAATGTCAACAAAGGGAATAAATCGATGACTAATATATTTTTGCCACTTAAGCATGACAAGGTTCTTAGGTAAATTCAGCTCGAAAAGAAGCAGCAAGTGTAATATTACATAAAATGATGCCTTCGTTAAGCCTTTCTAAGAGGATGATTGAAAATATGAAGAACAAAATTTTGAGGAAGGCGAGACATATAGGCTTAACATCATCCCAATCATTATGGAAAAAGAGTTCTTTAACTTGTACTAACATCGTGAATAAAAAATACAAATATTGATAATTGTAAGTTCTGTTGTTTGCAGTTTCTTTGCTATTATAAATTATTAAAAATTTTACTACTGTATTCATGTCATTCTTTTGATAAATGCAGTTATGAGTTTCGTTTGAGGGTCACTCTAGGACCTGGAGGTGACCTTATGCTGACCTCACGAATAAGAAACACAAATACTGATGGAAAGGCATTCTCCTTCACATTTGCATACCACACCTACTTTTCTGTTTCAGATATCAGGTTTGTTTGATTCTTTCAGAGCATATAGTTTTTGTGAATATATATGATGTTGAAATTGCTCTTATTATATGACTATCCTATTATTGCAGAAAGAGGTGAGATAAAATTGCTGCATGCATTTCAAATTATATCATAAATTCAGATTCTATTTAATTGTATTTAGTAAATTTACGATCAAACTGGGATATGGCCATCATTTCGACAGGGTATATGATGCGATGAGTGATTTAGAATCTTGTGTAGTAGTTTTGCAAGACAACAGGTGTGTGTGTGTTTTATACCCTGAGCTTGAGTTAATATAATAAAATAATTAAAATTGATTAAATTAATTAAAACTCAATTAAAATTCAGCCTAAGAAAATTGGCCTATCTAGTATATTAATTTGCGAGTTAGTTAAGCAAGTTATTTAATTTTAGCTTTTTAGACATAGTAGAATGATTGGCAGGGGTGCGGACTCCCCAGCCAACCTCATGTGCTTAATTTGAGAAACCACAAGACCGAGCCTCGAACTCGGGTCAAGAGGGGACTTACATCGAAGTTGCGAAGTGCCAACCAACTTAACCGACTTGTGCGCTCGCACACACATTTATAATGAGATTTACGTTTCTTCCTCATAAAACCTCTCAAGGCCCACAATAATTCCAATGTGTTCTCAAATATTTTGTTCTCATGCCGAGTCCACTTCCCACTCTTGTTCTCCCCAATAAGCCAATTGGAATTGGATAAATAAGCATGATTAAGGACTTCCATTAATGAATTTGCTATCGGTAAAGGGTTCACCGGTTGATTAGGCCCAATCCAAAAACATAGTTGATTTCTCTCAGATGAAAGAAGTTATGTAGAAGTGGAGAAATGAAGAGCAATGCAGAGAGAGGAATAAGCTTCCACAAGGAATCTGGAAAATAACCAACTCCAAAATGTAGAAAGAATAAAGTTGGACTATCAGACGACAATAATCTCGACTACTGGAAGCAAAAAAAAAATTGTGTGGTTTCAAAGACACAAATAAAGCTTGCAAATCCAATATGGTTGATCTAGCACTCTGCAATTAAAAACCACCGGAAAAGAAAGCTGATTCACTTTGAGCTCGAAACCGAGAGGCCTACAATAGCGAGAAAACATGAAGGCATGGAACAGGATGGGGTTGTAATGGGATGCAACATCGTGATATTTTTGCTAGGTAGTCAAAATGTAAATAGTATGGTTTAGGTATTAATTAAAGAAATAGTACAGTTTTTTATAGTGAGGCTCTTCTGGTTTTTGTCTTCCTCGCACAACCCTTGCAAAAGTTGAAAAGGAATGTTTTTGACCAAATATTTTGGATAGTTCTAATTCTATTAATATTAGCAAGCACCATAAACTTTTGATGACATTCACAACAAAACAGTTACAATAATTATGTTGGTGAAAAATGCAGATAAAATGTAATATTCTATGAACCTTATGATGGATTTTTGGATTTGAAGCCAACTGCCTGAGAAAATTTATTCTTATTAGATGATAGACAAAGAAGAAGGACAATAATATATAAAATTCAGTGAGGAAAAATAATAGATGCACTTAATATATAAATGATTTGAGGGATAAGAAGCTTAAAAATTGAAGGATTTGCCTTGTTGTGGCTTCCACTCCTAGGGAGAGGTCGTTGCATTTGGCTTCCTCAAACACTTAGGCATCCAACGATCAGTGTAAAGAAGGGGTGGCTGAGGGAGAGTACTTGGCATTCCGACATCATCCAACTTTTTGGCATCCACCAGGGTTTAATTATTTTAGCATCCAACATAAGTGTTGCTGAAGGTGGTTTCTGAATCCACCATGGATTCTGCCCAGCATTTATTAAAGTTGTGATAGGGGAAGAGAAAGGGATGTTACAACCCACAGATGCTCGATTTAGTGTTACCAAAACTTTTGATAGCATAATTATTGAGCTACCACATGTTGAAATTTCATAATTACATACTAATATCTCAACTTTTTAATATAGCAATTCATAGCCATTCTATATAAAAAACATATCCAAAAGCAATTAAAATTATAGATGCAAACTATAGATATATACATGTTTAGCTGTATTTTTATATCTACAACACAAAAGCAAATAAATTTTTCTCAAAATATTGTGAATCCAAATGACCATTAGATAGTACATCTATAACAAGAGTATCTAAAGCTATCACTGTACAACAACCACTATTGCTCACAAATGCCCAGCAAATAATATTCCACGTCTATAGTACACAATCTTTATAACTCATCCGTTCCATAGTGGCTTTTTTGAAAATAATCATCAATTATTGGGAGTGAGTTATATATAAATATATGACCTAGTATAGTACAATTTTCAATATTTGTAATATAATAAAAAGCAATATGCTACTGATGATTGAACATTTCAATGAGATAATGACAGAGATTCATACATAACTATATCATTTGGCTTAAAAATCAATATAACGATGGATTGTAGAATGATCACAATATTTGCCATAACATTGGTGTCATACTAACAGACTATGGAATATTATGATATTTATCATTAAAAAGTTGCCTTTATATTGTATGCATAGATTATAGCATGATCTTATTATTTAAATTTCATCATCATCGACCATAGCATGGTTTGATATAGTTTTTAAATAATAAGGTATATAACCATGAGCTCCATCTCAAGAGCCTGCCCAATAACAGTATCCTATCACAAGTATAACCCCTTTCATTGGTCAATATATTTCTTATAAAGCATAGTTCATATGTCTTCCATTCTCAATGATAAAATGTATACCTTATGCACCGATTGTTTATGCTTCCCTTGCTTGCACAAGCATGACACAACTCATGAATTTATCATTCTCAGTGGTAGGAATATTATAATCATCAGCATGTGGGCACATTACTGTCTTCAATTAGTTTAATAAAGAAAATGTAGGCTCTAGAGATCCTTGCCCGACTCTTATTGATATTCAAATGATTTTGGGTTAAGTTTTTCCGAAATCAGACTCAAGAATTTTGAATAATTTTTATTGAACCTTCAAATACTCTTGACATTTTCTGTTTGGCCTTAGAAGGATTTTTGTTTTCTTGGTATATCGTATAATCTGCCATTAGTGGTTGTAGCCTTTTCAAACTATCTTGATGCGAGCACAACTGGTAGCTGCAGCTTCCCTCAATGTAACAGGGAGCCGCTCTCACAGCCCCGACCCTACAAGTTCTTTCGTTAAGACCAAACTAATCTAGAACCAAGAGGCACTTACACGTGGGTTTGGCGCCTCTTTTTTATAGGGGCATCCAATTCTAGTCATCGAGGGCTTATATATGCATTTCCTTTGTCTTAAGGTTGGCGTTTTTTCTTGATTTTCTGTCAGGACAGCCGTCAACGTCATTTTGTTCCCTCCTAGGGCTGTTTTTAAAGGCGTGAAGGTGCTTCAGTGTAACTCGTCATCTTGTTCCCTCCTAGGGCTGTATTTAAAGGCGTGAACGTGCTCCAGTGTAACTCGTCCCGAGGTGGTGTTTGTCTACCGTTCCCTGCTTCTCATAGCCTTCCCTCTGTCGTCGTCGTCGTTGTGTTTGCTGCAGCCACCTGGAAAATAACTTCTTTACTGTTTTCCTGCAATCACTTACCACCCAAATACCTCCCATCTTGCAGCCATCCCTTTCAACAACCATCCACATTGTTGTCGCCCCCTTCCAACCTCCTCCTTTGCTGTCATGATTCTCACCAACCCTTCCAACACCATTCCACCACCTCCTTACTGTTCTTCCCCTTTTAGACATTCAACGACCAATCACTGCCTTCCATTATTGCCTTTGGACTATCCAACTCTCTATACTTGCTAGTTCTTCTTTTACTGCAGCAAAACCACCCTCGAGCTAAGCCCTAGTTGAGTTTGTGTTGCTTCTTTTTGGCTATTTCTTAGTTTCAATCGACTTTGATTGTAATTCGTATTTAATCTGAGTAATAAATGTTGCATTTTTGCCGTCTTTTCGATTAACTCCGTTATCATTTGATATCAGAGCTAGCCCAATCTTAGGGTTTTTATTATCTGTCATGCCCAAACTTATCTCCACCTTTAACCAAAAAAAAATATTTTTTCTTTTCTCACACTACACACCTCCTTCCACCTATCCATCCCTAAATCCCTAGCCATGTCGCCGAAATAGCAATTATCAAAAAACTGGTCAGGACTTTACATGGGCGACGTATAGCAGATACTTTGCTAAGCGCTATAGCGACTCAAGACTATTGAGGAAAGGATCATGGTTGAGTTCGATCGTAATAGTGGATCCGTGGAGGAGGGCTAGAAGAATAACTGAACCCCTTTGGTAGAGTTGACTTCAATGAAGAAGAGAATTGACCCAGACATATCAAAATTTAATATCAGAGGAGGCCGAGAGAGAGGAAGTGCTTTCTAAAGGGAACAAAGATCTGGGAGTTAACATGCAACCACCTGATTTTGACAACATGATGAATCCAGTTGATTTTATCGAGTGGATGAAGACAGTTGAGCGGATCTTTGAATACAAGAACATGCCGGATGACAAAAAGTGAAGCTTGTTGCCTTTAAGCTGATGAAGAATGTCTTTGTGTGGTGGGAGAACCTGAAGAGGGAGAGACACAAAGAAGGACGGGACAAAATTACTTCTTTGGAGAAGATGAAAAAGTCAATGCAACAACAATACCTACTCCCACAGTACCTCCAGGATATTTTCACGAAACTCCACCTCATTCAGTATATGAGCTATTAGTCGAGGAGTAAACAACATAATTTATGCCACTCAAGTTGAAATGTTAATTGAAGGAGACAGATGAGCACTTCATTGCCAGGCATTTGGGAGGTCTGAAGCCTGCCATTAGTAATGTGGTTCAACTGCAAACCTATTGGACATGAGGGATGTGCAGACCTTGGTGTTGAAAGTGGAGAGACAACATAAGCAATAGATATACTCACTTCCCTTCAGACAAACCCTTGCAGCTAGAGGCCCCCATGGGAGCATGCTCGAAGGAGTGGGAAAGACTTGACAATGATCTAGCTAGGCAAATCATAGTGGGAAAGAAGCCTGAGAAGAGCAGCACTCCCGACACAGTTTCAACCATGAAATGTTTCATATGCTATAGATATGGACACATCACTTTCAGTTGCTCGGTGAGTCGAGTTGTGTCTGTCACCAAGCAGGTTGTCATAGAGAAAGTGAGCGCAAAGAGGCAGTTCAAGAATAGTGGGTTTCACGACCCGATCCGAGGCTTGAAGTTAACCAAGATAGTTGGACGTTGGTGCTCATGAATGTTTGCCACATCATGTTTGGAAGACCGTGGCAGTTCGATCACAATACTCAGCATGATGGGTTCAAGAACACTAAGTCGCTCACAAAAGAGGGGAAACACATTTTTCTCTTGTCCATCAAAGATTCTAGAGTAGTTTTGCACATTGCCGTGAAACTTGTTATCGCACGTGCCACTTTTATGCAGTCAGTATAGGAAGCCACAGTGGCAATGGCCTTGGTTGTCTTAGAAGATACCAAAAATGATCCAACCACTGCTAGCTAAATTTCTGGACATGATGACCGACAATTTACAAGAGGGTCTGTCGCTTAGGGATATTCAACATGTCATTGACCTTATTCTGTGATTACTGTTATTAAATAGACTTGCCAACAAACTGAGGTCAGTAGAGTACTAGGAGTTGCAACGACAATTGTTGGATCTCATCGCGAAGGTATCTGTGAAAGAGAGCATCGACCCATGTGTTGTTCTCGATTTGATGGTGCCTAAGAAGGATGGATCGTGGAGAATGTGCATTGATAGTAGAGATATCAATAAAATCACCATCAAGTCCATGTTCCCTATACCTCGTTTGGGCGATCTATTGGACCAGTTGCATGGCGCCATTATCTTTTTCAAGGTTGGCTTGCGCAACAGATATTATCAAATTAGGGTGAGACCCGAGAATGAGTGGAAGACCTTCAAGACCAGAGATGGGTTGTAAGAGCGAACGGTTGTGCCCTTTGTGCTGTCCAATGTGCCTAGCACGTTCATGAGGTCAATGAACTAGGTGTTTTGTGCTTACATTGGGAAGTTCATCATCGTGTAATTCGAGAATATCCTTGTCTACAATAGGTCAGAGGAGGAACACCTACAACATCTCAGACTAGTTTTTGAGATTCTACAAGTGAAAAAACTATATGCTAACTCGAAGAAGTGCCACTTCATGATTGCTCAAGTATGTCTTTTGGGTTACATAGGACGTAATGGAGAAAAAAGATTCATGTAGTTGACCCCACTTAGTGGGATAATGGCTTGTTGTTGCTGTATTGTATCCGGTGCAACCATTTTCATGAACCCTATGAAGATAGAAGTGATCTTGAGTTTGACATTCCCACAATCCTTTGCCGAGCTGAGAAGGTTTTGGGGTTGGCCTCCTTTTATAAGAGATTTATTAGAGCTTCAACACCATTACAACGCCCTGACAAAGCTTTTGAATGGAGAGAAGTTTTAGTGGACGAAGGCAGCCTAATCCAATTTTGACATTTTGAAGGAGAAGTTGACACAAAACACTGTGCTAGATTAACTGGACTTCAGCCATTTGTTCATGTTGGAGTGTGATTCTTTTAACGTGGGACTTGGAGCTGTATTGAGCCAGTGAGGACATCTCATAGCCTTTTTAGTGGACGTTGAATGAGTTTCAGAGCAAGTACTCGACATGCAGCAAGGAGTTATATGCCTTTGTGAGAGTTCTTCTCCATCGGTCACTATTTGCTGACAAGCAAGTTCACTCTATTCATGGATCATAAGACTATGAGATTCTTGAACAGTCGGAGCAAGTTGAAAGTCCCAGAGAGTAATTGACATACGACAAGGAGTTCTATTCTATTGTGAGAGCTCTTTACCACTGGTTACTACTCTGACGAGCGAGTCCACTCTATTCATGTATCAAGAGACTCTAAGATTAGCAAGCTGAAGGGCATACAAGTTTCCTTGGTTGGGTTCTTGCCATCGATCTAGTTCGTGCTTAAGCATAAGGCGGGAAGTGATATTAGCGCAACAGATGCTTTAAGTCGCCACCATTTGCTAATCAACTCCATGCAGGTCAGAGTCGTGGAATTTGATGTGTTGAAGGAACTATACGAGGATATGAGGCTTTCAGGGAGATTTGGGAATAGTGTCATGAGAGGTATGCAGGACCCTACAATAGGGCTGATGGTTATCTTGTCCACCAGAATCAATCGTGTCTTCCCAAATTCTCATTGAGGGAACGGGGGACTAGCACGCCACTTCGACAGAGATAAGACCCTCGAATTAGTGATGAGACACATTTTCTGCCCTGAATGTCGAAGAACATGGAGTGGTACGTTCGACATTTGTAGAGTTTGCCACTTAGCATATGCATACCGTTATTGATACCAGAGGCTCCTTGGGTAGATTTCAGTTTGGATTTTGTGGTGGGCCTTTCGAGAATGCAACAAAACAAAGGTTCAGTGATGGTCTTGGGTGACAGGTTCTCGAAGATGCCTCATTTTGTGTCATGTCATTGAACACTGGATGCCACATGTCACTTATACTTCAGGGAGATTGTGAGGTTGCATGGAATACTTGGCCAGGACTATCACATCTGATAGGGATATCAAGTTCCCAAGTCACTTCTGGAGAATCCTATGGGGAATGCTTGGTGCTCATTTTCAATTCAGTTTAACAACTCTCACTTGTAAATAAACGATAGACAAAAGTGGTGAACAGGAGTTTGGGGAACCTCCTCAGGTGCTCTATATGAAAGTATATCCAACAATGGGAATTGATTCTAGCTTGAATTCTCCTACAATAGGTTTGTGAGTTAGACTATGGGACGTACACCTTTCAGATCATGTATAAGCACAATGCACTCACTCCATTAGAGTTAGTATCGGTTATTCCTACATCAGAGGTTAGTACAAATATCAAGGCGAGGGTACAAAGATTCAGAGGTTACACGAGGAGGTCGGGAAAGAGGTCACCAGACAAACTCACAATAGTACCAGGCGCAAGCTAATAGAATTAGGAAGAATATGACTTTTCAGAAGGGAAACCTAGCGTGGGTCAGACTGAAGGAAGAAAGATTCCACATGGGATCGTTCAAGAAACTCAAGCCCAAAGCATACAGACCTTTCAGGATTCTTATGAAATTAAATGACAATGCCTACCAGATAGACTTGTCAGGGGATTACGATATTTATGTTACTTTCAACATGACATACTTGAATCCATACTATGATGACTCGGAAGTTTTGACGAATTAGGTTGAAGCTCTCCCAACCCTGAAAGGCTGACTCGTGTGCAACTGGTAGTTGCTGCTCTCCGCGGCGTAACGGGGAGCTGGTTCCATGATTTTTTGTGTTCGAACTAAACCGGTCTAGACTCGGGACTAGTTTTTCACGTGGGTTTGGCCCCTCCTTTTCATAAGGGAATCCAATCCTAGTTACCTGGAGCTTACATATGTGTTTTTTGTGTCATAAGTTTGGAGTTTTTTATTGGTTTTTTTGTTAGGATAGCCGTTGGATTCCTCGTGTTCCCTTCTAGGGCTGCACCCAATGGCAAGAAGATGCTTCAATTATAAATCGTTCTGAGGTAGTGTTTGTCTATTGTTCCCCGTTTCCCACAACCTTCCCTCCTTTGGCTCCATTGTCGAGTTTGTTGCAGCCACCTAAAAAACAGCCCCCTTTCTTTTCACAGCCGCCTACTATCCAACCACCTCCCATTTGGTAGCCATCTCTTTCAGCCACCACCCACCTTGCCGCCGCCCCCTTACACCCGCCTTCCTTGCTGCCGTGATATTCTCCGACCCCTCCAACACCCTGCCGGCACCTCCCCGCCACAGTCAACTCCTCATACCTTGTTGCCGCCAACCTTCAGCCATCCAACAGCCAACCGCCACCTTTAATTGTTGGCTTCCAACTATCTAGCCCTCCATTTGCTAATTCTCCTTAAACCGCAGCATCACCACTCGACTTATACCCTAGTTGTCTTTTCTGCTATTTTCTAGTTTCGAGTATATTTGGTTATAATTTCTATTTGATTTGACTAATAAAAGTTGCATTTCTGTTGTCTTTTGGGTTTACTCCCGTTCAAATTGTAACTCCCTTGATTCAGCGAAATCCTTTCATTTAGAGTGCTGTGCCAGTGGATTTCTATAATGTGGAAACCCACATGTAAGCTGTATCATTTAAGTTGCTGTTCTGCGAAATGAAATTTTTTGTTTTGTTTCTCTTGGAGCAAAATTTTCATTTCATATTTCTCTCTTCTATATGCGGAACCTTCTTCAAAGGCTGCTCTCTTGAATTATTTCTAATTACTTTTTCAGTGAAGTGCGTATTGAAGGATTGGAGACATTGGATTACCTTGACAACTTACATGAAAGAGAACGTTTCACAGAGCAGGGAGACGCAATCACTTTTGAATCTGAAGTGAGTTTATTAATATTTCAAGCTGATACTTTGATCTTGCAGGTCATCCACTGACATTCTTGTTCATAAAAGGTTGACAAAGTGTACTTAACTACGCCAAATAAGATTGCCATTCTGGACCATGAAAAGAAACGCACATTTGTTTTAAGGAAAGAAGGCCTACCAGATGCAGGTTCATTCACCAATCTTATTTCAACTTAAACAGATCTGTCTGAAATTTTAAAAAACTGTTGCTCATATAAAATGCCAAAACTTACTGATTCGATTATTCTGTTACGCTGCAGTGGTGTGGAATCCCTGGGATAAGAGGGCCAAAGCAATTGCGGATCTTGGGGATGATGATTACAAGCATATGTTGTGTGTGGAAGCAGCTGCTGTTGAGAAACCCATAACTTTGAAACCTGGTGAGGAATGGAAGGGGAGGTTGGAATTATCTGCAGTCCCTTCCAGCTACTGCAGTGGGCAGCTCGATCCGCAAAGGGTTCTTCATGGCTGAGTTTGTTTCAGTTCATGAGGTGCGCACCATTTACTGCCACTCTTAACACATCTATTTTACTTGTGAGTGAAGTGTGCAAATAGTCCCTCGCTATTTACATGGGGTCATTATAGTCCCAGAGTTTTTAAAAATGTCAAAGTAATTCTCAGACTTTTTTAATATTGTCTGAAATGATCCCAATGATGGATTATTTTAGCCCCCATTAAAAAAATATGATGATTAATTTTACATTATTTATAGACCCGGAGACTAAAAGTGACCTCTATAAAGAGTCGGATTTTGACATTTTTCTCTTCTAGTTGTTTACTGTACCACAAAGTTGAGGCTGTGCACATAAAATGGATTCATAATTCGAAAGCATGACTTGTTATATTGAAGCTGTAACCATTTTATGAGAATAATTATGCGGCAAACTGAGTGAAATGAAGAAGATAACAATGATAGTGCAAGATAACTACACAACTTCGAATTTGTTTGGAACTCGAGAAGTGGATCAGAGAAAAAGGGAAATTTGATGGTGCCCACTCCATAAATTTTCGAGGGAAAAGTGAGAGTAGAGCGAGAGTTTAATTTATTTGTTGCATTCCCTAATAATTTCACAGTCACGGAAGACTTACTAGGACAAATTACTACCTACTCGTTACTTGAAAAAGCTGCCAAAACACCTATTACCAATGGCTTATCTTTTTAATTTGCAGCTTAAAATCCAATCACAGAATTTTGTAAACAAAATATTTTGTAGGAAAATTTACATACATACCAGACAGTTCTTTTGTATTTACATACCTAACACGCAAATTTTGATATTTAACATTTACAACACCTTGTGTCATAAACCTACGCATCAAAAAATGTATTTCACTTTCGTTTTTACTTCTTCTCTAGAGCGTGCTGATATATTATTCTGCCAAGCTTTTTTAGAATTTTCTGCAATAGAAATCTGAATCATCGCTGAATTGTTCGCTTTATTTACACTTTGCTGAATGAGTTTTCCATGCAGGAGCAGGATTTGGATTGCATGGAATATAGCTGGTGATATATAATGAGTGAAGATAAAATAATAGTACTTCTCTGTGTTGAGAAATATTTAAAATCCAACACAGGGAAGGAGATGTCAACCTTAAGTATTGTGGCTATAATGTATAAAACTTAAGCTTGCTATTTGCATACACATTTCGTGAGACCAAGTTGAATCTTTTCTTGTCTGTATTATTTCTTCCAGCTACGATGGGCTCATCTGTTACCAGGCTACTTTTTTTTAATGAAGCTCTGAAGTGTTCATATAGATTTTTGAGAAATATGCATGATTTGCTGCCTGTTACTACGTAACAAAAGAAGGAACTTTCTGGTTCCCAGCCTAAGCCATTCTAATCATTCAAATAACTTTAAATCTAGCAATTGAAATGTAATTTAAAAATTTAATATGTGAATTGAAAAGCAAAGTGTTTTGAACGGAGAAACTTAATGAGCTCAAGATTTTTCAATTTTAGTGTTGTTAACATATTTAAATGTTGAATGAATTATACATGTTCAAACAGAAAATAACATTGATTGTTTGAGTTAGTGTACTAAATTTTAGATAAAATAATTAAAATTTTACATATGGAAGTCATAAAGTGATATTTATATTTTACATAAAGAGGATGTAAAATCTACCTGATGATAAAGGTCCATGTCCTTCACTAGCAGGTGTCATCACGCAAAGTGTAGTTGACAGTTGCGATCTAACCACCGTTGCTCTATTCTCATCACATGAATATCATCACTTGACAAAGGTCTTGTGACCGCCTTTGCATTGATCGTCTCTCGATCATCATTGTAATATCATAATGACTCGATTATTATTATATGATCATCATTAATTTTCACTATTTATTTCAGTCATAAGAGCTGCAGCAAGTACTACCAACTTCATAATCTCATATCCTTCAACTGTAGAGAATAGCATATTTTGTACATCCTATATAAAATAGATTATTTTGACTAGCTTAAGCTCAATAATTTTCTCTTTTTGAGATTTTATATAAACATTTGGTGTGTTTTTTTATGCTCTTTTCATTTTTTTTATTTATTTGTGAGACCTTTGCGCAAGGTTGGGATGCAAAACTCTTCATTTATTATTGTGAAATTCTTAGAACATAAAATTTTACCATTATTTGTGGAAAGTATTCCTAAAATCTAACAAATACTTGTTAAATGGCTTACAACTAATTTCTCGATCAAGAATATCATATTATAGTCAGTGAAAGTCATCTATGCTTAAGTTTGGATGATCATCTTCAAAAGATGGAGGGACATCAAGCTTAACTCATAATTACAAAAATATAAAGTAAATAATACTATCATTTTGCTATAAAAACAATAATAGGCTAGGATTATCAATTAGAGGGCATGCAGGGCCCAATCATCATCATATTGAAGTCTCTCCTCCATCATAGTCTCACCAAAATCTCCATGACAATAAATGTTTAACCCATAATCTGTGTTGCCCAACCAACTCATAATACCTTGGTAACTCCGATGGAACCTTATTAATGCCCCTCATATTCTCAAAAGAAAAGAATCTCATCATCTCATTTCTAAAAAAAAAATTCTTGAAGGGATGGAAAACAACTTATTCATTAATGCAACTTCTAGAAAACTCTCGTACCATTGCTATTCTCTACCATCTCAAGCTAATGCCATTTAATTTGTATGTTATTGACTTATATGATGGAACCTATAATCCTTATAAACATATCAATCATAACAGAGTCATCGTACATATTCTATTAAGGGTCTGTTTAGGGCAACTGCAGCTTATCCAGCTTCTGCTGATAAGCAATTTATCCTGATAATGTGTTGATAATCTGCTGATAAGCAACTGATCCTGATAATCTGGCTGACTGTTTGGTTTATGCGTTTGGAAAACAGCTTATTCTGGATAAATGATCATTCTGCCCCTGTTATGGATAAGTTGTTTAGCTGTTTGGTTTGTGCGTTTTGTAAACAGCTTTTTTGCAGATTTTTTTTAATTGAATGAATAATCTATCACGCAGAATTAGTAATTTTCTCAAATGTAAAGACATGAAAATACAAAAGAGTTGAATTACATTTATATAACTCAAAACTTTTCGATCACATCAAATAAGCGCAGTCACATATACAAAAATGAAGTACACATTCACACACTAATATGGAATATAATGAGACCCAAAAAAAAAAAGATAACACGTTAAAATTACAAGGGAAAAATGACAATATTGACTAAAATGTAGAAGCATTTAACGACGAATGTTGCCCGATTTTGATACCTCAGAACCCCGAGCAAACCTGTCTGATTGGGATAACGTAGAAATGGAAGCACTCGAACCACATGCAGTGTTCTCCTGTTCTGATATCGTCAAACTCCGAGCAGCGGCATCTAGTTGGGATATCGTAGAAACGGTTATATTGTCGGCCTACCTAAAGAATTTGCAGACTTTCAGTCCGTATGCCCACCGGGAACACCTGTAGAATTGTCGGCCGTAACTATGTGTCTGGCGTGACGTTAGTAATAGGGATGGTAACCCGCAGCGGCACATCACTTGCCTGGACTTTCCTGAATACCTGGAGCTCATTGTCCTGCAATTATTAAAAAAAAAGTAGATCAATAAAAAACTAAAGGATATAAAAAAACTCAACTTACCAAATTGTGGAAGCAATGGTTGCTGACAACAAAGTTCTGTGGCCATCCAAGCTGCTCCACATTTATCTAATTTATCTCAATAAAATTAATATACATAAAAAGTAAAAAAAAAAAAGAAAACAAGGTAAATAGAAGATAAATTCATTGCAACATGTTCCATAGAATTCATAATCACATGTATGCAAATCATATGTATGCATGCAGTAAAAAAACAAGGCCATCCAAGCTTTAAAAACAATGAATTACATATTCCATAACTGCAGGTAAAAGCAAAAGAAGGGAGGAAGTGCATAATAGGCTACGGAAATAAGGTATGCTTCTATTATAAGCTTTGTTTAGCTTGCTTGGCATCTTTATCAAACTACATTTCTCCTAAGAACAGAATTCTGCTAAGAACAAAGTTCTGCTATCCTCTCCTGCCAGCACTTCTCAAACTACCAAATTATGGAAGCAACGGTTGCCGAGAACAAAATTCTGAGGCCGTCCAAGTTGCTCCACACGTGACAGTTTATAATAAGCTGTTCCATTCATCCATCGGCACAACAGATTTAAATTTTAAACAGAAAAAAGAATTCATAAAACCAACATTTGCTCTCATTTTAGACAGGCTAATTCATTAAGCAAAAGCATTTTTCCCTTGCCACATACAATATATCAATAATTACAATCAATTTCTTTTCAGTGAGCTTTAACTCCACCAATTTCATTTCAGAAAGCTTCTAAGAATCCTACACAGCCGTAACAGAGAAAATAAAAGCATTTTCTTTACCTTATGCAACCAAAAGGTAGCATATAAAATCAGTTTATTTACCTTATAACAACTGTATAACTGATTAAATAAAGCAACCAAAAGCAAATTTATCCAATGCACACATTTGATCTCTTATCTTATGTAATGGCTGCACTGGTTACCTAGCAATAACTGGGCCATCCAAAGATGTCGCATCATGTCGCACCATCACCGTTGGGATTTATTTCAGAAAGCCATGAACAACAGTTTATAGCCATGAACAACAGTTTATAGCCATGGACAGCAGTATAAATAGCCATGGACAACAGTATAGATCCCTTATTGTAAACCTACTCGGGACATACCATCACCCTCTTTAGCTTATTTCCAATCAAATAGTGAAGTGAAACAAATATGATATTTGTTCAATTGCCTTCTGCTCCAGAAGGAAAAAACCAAACTAGACCATGCTTAAAAAAGAATATTAAACCAAGGCAGCAAACAAAAGTTTTGATGCTTAATTCACATATTTAGAAGAAGTTGTAATTTTCTGCGAATAAAGATTCATTGCAGAACTCTGCTCTGAAAAAGGCCTAAATTAATGGATTTTGAAGATCATAGAGACACAAATGCTGCAGCACTTCAAACTTCTGAATAGTTATCCGTTCTAACTGAAGCAGAACTGAGAATAGAGACGCAAGATGGCACTTACACCAAAATTTACATATGTAACACCTTAACTTCAATTTTTACGTACATCCCACTTTACCTATGCATAAACAAGTGTCTTCTACATTTTAAAAGTTAAAAATGGTCATTTTGAAGGGAAGAAGAGCATGTCTCAATTTCCAGGTATAAAACAGTAAACTGCTGAGAATTCTTATGTTAAAATAGTGGGTAATTGAAGGCTACATCCCAGACTTATCAACAAATTGTGAAGCACAATTGCTATGTAAACACAGGATAACTGAATCAGCAACAAGAGAACACAGGTAAACCGAACCAGCAACAGAGAGTTGCAAATTCGTAGCATTCATTCATACAACCTCCAGCTCATAATGAGATATAAATTAATACATGCAGTTGCTGAAGAAAGAAAAGGTTGAAGGTTTGATTACATGGCAACTGCTGAGAACTATTAAACTTTCTGCATTCACATCAAATGTCTATCACTTTAACAGATAATAAGATAGATTTCTTAATAAAACAACCACAAATTCTACACATCAATAGTGGCAGCACCCAATGAACTTCAGGTAACAAGATAAAAAAATATCAGCTTTCCTTTAAAATTCTCAGCAAATGACAACATTCATTCATATACCTACAGCTTTCCCCAATAGCAGTAATAACATTCATTCATAATGAAAAACCTGCAGCTCATGAAATGAAATAAGAACCCTGCAGTGCAGCCAACACATTCATAAAGACAGAAAATAAACATGTTTCGCCAATGAAATGAAATAAGAACCCTGCAGTGCAGCCAACCAAAATTAACATAAATGCTTATAGCCAACATATTGTTTTTCAGAAAACCCTCAAATAAGCAAGCATTCGTAATTGTTTAGCCAAACTTTAAAATGAATTACTTAACATATTTCGCTAATGTCGTATGCTATTCGATCTCTCAAAGATGTCATTTCAGATGCCCCTTCACCATCTCTGGTGTTTGTTTCAAGTGAATCCATTTCAAGCTGTGTTATGGTGTGGCCCACATGGTACTCGTATGCTTTGGGGGGAATTTGCAGTAAATCTGCATCAACCGCGATAAATTATGCATCATTCTTAAAGGATGCCTTCTAATAAAAGTGTGCAGTGCCATGGTGGCCACTACTATCTGGACTTGTTTCGGAAAAGG